CACTGTTGGTGAGTTTTTCAAGGAGCAGGTTTGCGTTGTTGTACTCGGGCGTTGAGGTCTTTCTCGTGTTTTTGTTTTGTTTTGTTTTGTTTTGTTTCTTTTTTTGTTTTGTTTTGTTTTGTTTTTTTTTTTTTTTCATGTTTTCAGGTGATGTTGTTGGAGGTTTTAGGGTTTCGAGCGTTGTTGTGATTCGTAGCCTGGGGTTTTGGACAACGAAGTCTGAAGCCTGGTAATTTTACACGGATTCGTCTCGTTGAAGTCGTAATTTAGAAGATGTGGAGTGTTTTAGAGGATTTTTGTTGGTATGCTGTTGACTTGTAGCATTTTGAGGCAGATTTTCAGGGGTATTCGAGCATCTGGGAGAGAGCGGTAGGCGTCAGTTGTGCCAGTTATTCCTTGTCTTGTGAAACGGGACCCGAAGTCTGGCTGTCTGAGTTGGAAGAATTAGAAAAGACTCGCGCAGGGTCGTTCGGAGGATGCTGATCGTAGTTGGCCGCACTGTAGCATGCAGTTGAATAGTTATTGGTGGAGGCGCTACATCTGCATTTTTGATGCGTGATAAGGTGAAAGGTTTTGCTGCCTTCACAACGTTGTTGTATATCTATCAGAAACATGTTATTTACCCAGACCAACTTTCCTCATGAAGAGAAGGCTACTCCGAGAGCCATGCTTCATAGCCGCTGTGAGCCAGCATCAAGGCCATAGATATTTTTCTACCACTGGTGGGTGGGAAGGACTGAAGGGTTGATTCCAATGAGCAGGGATTGAAGGTTGTCCTTCTTTTTGCAACCATGCATTCATAATGTCCTTCCAACGTAGAGAGATTCCAGTGAGACCTCGGGGCACATATTCTCTTTTGTGAATCCTGCCTTTAGTCTTTCTACTCTGCCTCTCTTGGAGCTTTGTGATCTTAGTGCTGTCTGCAGTTTTAATTATTTCCTAGCCCATGGACTACTAAAATTGCAGTAACTTCGAGGGAGTTCGGTGTATCGCTCTAGTGTTTTCATGAAAGCCGAAGGTGACAGTTTCCAGTCAAGACCTGTCTGGTGAAGACTTGCGGTCAGAAGATGAGGTTTGAAGCCTTGTCGTGCTGTGAGAATCTTGTCCAGCTACACCCGTCGGGTTATTGAGTTTCTGGAAGCACAAGAGGTGGTGCGGCCTGTACTGTGAGAGGGAGGAAGCAAGACGTTTCTAATAACCGCCCGCAGCATGTATGAGCGGCCTGATAAGTGCGCCCGTCTTATGTTACTTGATTCAAGTATTCCCCGAACTGACGTATATGATGGAGTGAGTTCATCCCTCTGATCGTTCTGGATTCCTATCAATGTTTCAGGTTATTAATAACAATGGTGCTGAAGGACATTGTAGCAACTTTTGGATGCACCACTCGGATTTCAAATTGCACAATCGATAATATGTCATGTTTGATATTTTAAGTGGAGTCATGAGTTTGACTTAGAATAGCGTCACCACTGGTAATTACTCGAATTGTGTGCAGGGGTACCATTTTGCGGTAAATAAATGGCAGCACCAGCATCCAGGGATAGGAAGGGGAGCACCTCCAGCCGCAATAGGGAACAGTACAGAATTCTACAATGGTTGCCTTCCCAGCTTGGCAGGACGATGGTAAAGATGCACACTACATATTTGAGCTGGGAGACTATATAACACCACGCAGCTTCGTTTTTTTGTTGTTTTTACTTTTCTTTCAATCAGATTTCGACAATGTAGTTGCATATGATTTTAGATGGTCGTTGCCTGTACGTTGGTGTAATATTGTTGAACTAATTTTGACTATCATACAAAATTACTCCACCGCGCATCTCTCACCCGTGATCTATTGTGCACCTTATGATATTGGTGCCTCTTGCAGGCTTCAAGGACAGGAAAATACTTCAAGCGCGCACAAAAAACAATTGAGACAAAGCTAACTGATTTTGGTAGCGCTTCCTTTGACAACCACTGCCACTGTTTAGTTGTTTCTACTCGCCATGACTGAGCACCAGAAGTTATTTTAGGTGAGTCGCATATGAATGTTAATTATTTTCTTTCTTTGGGCAGCTTATATCAGGGTCCAGAGGGTATACAAGTTTGCGTCAAACATTCTAATGGGATGGCCTTGTATATTCCTGGAATGTGGTGAGGAATCCAGGACACAGCAAGAGAGTGGATTCTCATAAGAATTGTTATTATCTCAGGTCTGGTTCGACATATCTCTGCGATATGTGGAGTGTGGGCTGCACATTCGTGGAATTGTGTTCGCTATGTGAGATGTGTGCCACAACGGAGCTTCTAGCAATCTCTTCACCTGTCCTGTCTGAACTTATTCAAACCACACCTTTTTCTGGTTTGTTTTCTGCTACTAAAGGCCTTACCTTTCTGTGTGTGCATCTCTATCCCTCCCCTAATGTAGTTATTTGCATTCATGTGTTCTAGTAGTTATTTATGAATAACTAAACAACTAAATAGCTTTTAGTGATAGTATTTGTTCTCGTTGCAGGGTGATGCGTTGTTTTAGACTCCTGAGAACTTGGGGCACATACCTATGATGGAGCGAGTTCTAGGTCCCATCCCCTGGCACATGATAAAAATGGCTGAGTGCGTCACTTGATTCAATTTAATTCGATTTTTCTTCAATATTTGCGGTGGTCATTACAAACATCTGTGGTAATCCCGCTGAGCTTCGCAGTTATCTTAAGATTAACTGTTTTTCTAGTGTTTAGATGGACTTCCATTTTGCTAACAAACTTGAATAGCCCACAAAAATATTCAGTCGACGACTGTAGAAGTGCTTCAGACATGGAAGAGAGTTGAACTGGCCTGAAGGGGCTATATGAAGAGAGCATTCGAGCTGTTCGAAGATTGCCTCGATTGCGGTGCTTTTTTAACTGCTCGTCTCTCTTTTTTTGTTTTTAGTTCTATTTGACTTGTTTATGTACACTTCTGTCGTGTACTAACTGCATAGGTTTGACCTTGTGTGACAATGAAATGTGCTACTTGGTTTTGTGACAGAATTTGATCATGCACCATGTGGATTATTCTGAAGGGCTTCTTATTGGTTTTTTACAAGGTTTGCTGAAGTTTGAACCTTCAAAAGGCTTACAGCGAAGAATGCACTCAAGCATCCTTTCGTCACAGAGTCTAACCGGCGCCTGCAAGACTTTTGCCGCTTGTTGTTTCTAAAACTTATGAAGTCTCGCCTCAATTAGCTGGAATTTTGGGAAATGAGTACAATAATATGCTTCTCAGTAGTACTACTGAAGAACTTTGGAAGAACAACCCTATTTTTACTTTACGGCTGCAAAGTATATGCCTAAAAGGCTGATTGGAAGGACGTTCTTCTCTCTAGTAATTGGGCAGGCATGAATTGAATTGATATAATCAATCGGATCTAGTACACACAGCGGGCCCTCTTTCTTGAGGAACTTCCCTCGTTTGGGCACTATTTTTCTCTGTCGATTTCGCTGACTGAAGTACCAGGTGTTAGTTTATTTGTATTGTAGAATCTATCAGGAGAGTTAGGCGGCAGCTGCTTATTTCAAGACTCTCCTCCTAGTGAAGCACAAGCTTCTTGTACCATGGTTCCTTGAATAATGAATCCAGCATGCTGACCACATGCATTTTATGCTGGTGTCCGAGTCTGTTATGGCAACCCTGACACGTTTCTAATCTCCTTGTGCTTATTTTCAGATTGTTTCATCAGGTTTTTGTGAAGGCACAAAGGTCGTGTGAGATTCACATTGCTCTCTCTCCTCCACCAGTAGCTTCGTCACTCAAAAACTTCCAGGTCTGGAAGTGCCACTGACGCTCTTTCCCAAACAAGGCCTGAGCGCCTTTCACCAGGGACATTTATGCGCATCTTTACCAGACATTTTGTAGAAGCTTGAATTCACAGTCGAGTGCTATCAGAACAACTGAGAAGTGGAGACTTCGTACAGGCGGGGAAATCACGGATAAGAGCAGGATGGGCATGGTACTCAGAGTCCTGCGCTGAATTCTAGATGTACCATCCATCAACAGGGAAAACGACATTCAGAAGCTGACTTCACAGGTCTCCTGTACCCATAGCTCATCCTTCAACACTGCATGTGAAAACTCTGAGCTGTAACTTCCAATCTGCAACCAGTCTCCTGCCTTCTGCACCCTTTCCCATGTTGACTTCTGTGGTTCTTGATGTGTCGTAAAACCTAATGAAACGTTCAATTACATGATGAATAACATCAATCATGTCAATTGTCTGCTGTAGGTGTTACATCGGTTGAATTTTATTGTTTGCTGTGTATTTGGATTTATTCAATTACACTATTGCAGCAGGAATGTTTGGATGGAGTTTACAATGATAACCTTAAGATTTTCGCATTATGAATATTGTTAACATTATCGTTTAATGCTGAATTAGGTTTTGAACAATGTTTTGGGAATCATATATCTCTTTAACATTGTACTTTTAATCGATTAGGTATGTGTAACATTTATCAAATATTGTTGCTTATGAGAATTGATAAAATATCTAAAAGCAATATATAGGGTTTTTTTTTTTCATTTTTGTATATTTTTTTAATCATCATTGCTTTTTTATTCCTTTTTGGTCTCAGGATTTTATTATATTATACTTCAATTTGAGCTCAAAAGTTACATTTAAGTTAAACTAGTTCAATTGTCCAGAACAGTGGTTTTGGCGCCACATTACATCTCAAATAAACGTTCATTTCACACTACAACATTCCGAAACCAAAAAGATTGCCACTTCACCAGAAAAACAGAACACCATAAACACTACACGACTAAAAATAAAACCAACACACGTACTAAAGTCCAAAGTACTTTAAGAACAACTTATGAAATTGTAGAATTGAACCGTAAAAAGCCGCCCCATATCCATGTGAATGTTTTACAAAATGGTTGGGTTTATTCTCCATGAGAACTGTATAAAAAAACCATGAAATTGTAGAAGTGGAGAAACAAGTAAACAAATGTCTAGACACACTTGCTAACTCACTCTTTCACTCGCTCTCTCGCTCGCTCAGTCTGGTTTCACAATGGGCCGTAATCTAGAATTAGAGATTGACGTCGTATGGGTTGAAATGTAGACGAGGGAGGAGGACGAGGACGACGAGTTCTTTGTCACGCCGGGTCAGGCCAACGGCGGCGAAAAGAAAGAAAGAAAGGGGAGACAGGGGGTGAAGAACAATGCGGCCTTTATATGGGAGAGTGGAGTTGTGGGAGCTGGCTTCACGAGGCAAGAAGAAGCCCGGGGAGGGGGAGGAGGAGGGGTTGTGGGAGGATTTGGGAAAGTGCCGAAGCGGACCCCATCAAGGTTGGCTTTGGAGAGGTAGCCCGAGAGGTTTTGGGGAGCTGGCATGATTTTACCCCGTGTCGGGATAATTTGGTGGAGCAGATGGTTTTGGAGGGTACGTTGTGCGATGCGAAGGAAGGGAATGCTGATTTCTTTCGAGCTTCATCATGTGGAGTTGCTATGACTCGTGTGTCGTGGTCGTAGAGCTTCGCCGTGTGTGGATGCGCTTGCAGGCAAATATTGCGTAGTGAGCGAGTGAAAGAGGGAGGGAGGGAGGGAAGGAGGAAGAGAGGGAAGGAGGGAGGAAGGGAGTGAAAAAGGACGTGAAGGATTATTTAGGTTTTTGGGGATGGCCTGAAAGTGGGAGAGAGTGGCGTGGGTCGGCGATTTTGCTCAAAAAAGAGGTTTGAATGGCGAACATGATGGACAGTTGAGACAACAGGGTTCGTACTGGCAAGGGTTAGAGCGAAACAGCCAGAAGAATTGCGCAGTCTTTGAGAGGCTGCAGTAATCGTTGCCAGAGAGGGGTTAAGGAGAATTGTTCAAGCTGGCGTACCAGGCGCGGCCGACGGTGCTGGCGGGGGAGAATTTGGGCGTGCTGCCGATTTTCCTGTCTGTGCCGGGGTCGCACGACATGAACCACCCTGATTTGGGGTCTCTCACCCCGGGTCGCGGTCGGGGTCACAAGAAGGAGGACCGTATTCCCCAGTGGGGATACCATGAAACCAAGGAGTTCATCGCTGTTCGAGCTGAGTTGGAGAAGGACTTCACACAGACCAGGCGGAACAAAACGCTGTGGGTGCTCATTGAGAGGAAAATGAAAGAGAAGGGGTATCGGAGGAGTGCGGATCAATGCAAATGTAAATGGAAGAACCTGGTCAACCGTTACAAGGTACTTGTCTGCGTTGTGTATCAAATTTTCGTTCACGCAAACACAAGCCATAATCCTGGACGTTAACGGTGCTTGACTGAGTGCCGTGGAGTTTATTTTGAACATTATGCTTGTGCTTCGCTATTTCATAGCGTCACGCCTTAGCCGACACCCAATTCCATTTCTTTCCGCAGCCTTGTTAGCACCTTTCTTTCTCTTGTCAAAGCAAGCTACAAGTGATATCGTTGTCTTATCAACTGGTGGAGAATTATGTTAGGAACTGTCGTACAGATAGCCTTAGCTGCATGTTGGATTGTACAAAACATTATTTTTAAAACTTTCTTTTAAATGTCGGTCATGTTTCTTCCCTTGCATGAGTTTAAAGCTTTTGGGGCATTTAATTCTGCTCAAAACTGGAGTATCCTTACTGCGCACTTCATATTACCTCTCAAGTGGCCTTTCTTTCGTCTTAAACGTCTAATGCCTCTCATGCCTGCATCCTTAATCAGCATTGTGAACTTGCTTGATTGTGAAGAGGTCGTTTGTTTTTGCACTATTTGTCTTATCAATCATGTGTTTGGCTTACAGGGGAAGGAGACGTCCGAGCCTGATTACGAGGTCTCATCTACATCCTGTACCACCCCGCCCCAAATTCTGGACCATCGTTGTGCTGGTCATGTTTGGTCATTCCATTAATATGAAATGAATCCTTCAGCTGAGATTTTGTGGTAAGGTTAGAAATTTATATACGCTTACTCTTATTGTACTGATTTGTGGGCTACCTTGCTAATATGCAGTTTCCGCAGGGTAAGGATCCCATTTATCCTGAGAATGGCAGGCAATGCCCTTTCTTTGATGAACTTGATGCTATTTTCAAAGAACGTGCCAAGAACTCAGACAAAAGCCTGCTGGAATCCGAGCTAGGGTCTCGAGGCAAGAAGAAAGGCAAGAGGGGCAAAACCAAAAGTGATGATGACGATGACAGTGAGGACGACGATGAGGAGGAAGAGAGCGAAGAGGACCGTGTTGTGCAGAGGAAGAAGAGGAAAAACGAGAAGGAGAACAACCGGCCTCGTGTAACAGCGGAGAAGTATCGTGCCAACAGCATGCAAGAAGTGTTGGAGGACTTCTTCCAGCAGCAGCAGAGGGTGGAGGAGCAGTGGAGGGAGTCGGTGGAGAGGAGAGAACAGGAGCGGCGGTTGCGGGAGCAGGAGTGGAGAGACGCGATGGAGAAGCTGGAACAGGAGCGGATTGCGAGGGAGCACATGTGGCGAGAGCGTGAGGAACAGAAGAGAATCCGAGACGAGGCCCGAGCACAGAAGAGAGACGAACTGTTCGCGGCGTTGTTGACGAAGTTGGCGCAGGACGAAGGGTACTGAAGTGATGAGCGTGGTGAAGGTGGTTGGAGTGAAGGATGCGAGGATCATACGATGACATGCGCATGGGAGGGGGAGGTCACCGGGGCGACGACGGAGAGGTGGAGGTTTGTGGTAAAGGAGGTGGTGCGGGGTGGATTAGAGCGTATGAGATGGGAAGCAGTTGTTGAGGAGGGCAACGAAGAGATGGACGAGGGAAGGGATTCGAGGCGTGGGATGAGGAGGGCGTGAAAAGAGAGGGGTATTGACGTGGGAGTGTGGAGAGTCTGAGTGACGTCTGCGGGTGATGTCCAGTGTGTTGTAGACAAGGTCGACGGCAACGGGTGGTGATGGGCATGGAGGATTTGTGGGTTCCCCACTTGTAGAGATGTATATTCCCCTATTGGTAGATCTTGAAGCTTTTGAACCTGTAGTCCGGAGGAAAGACCCAGCCTAATTGTTAGATTGGCAAGTTCCATATTTTTTTGTGCTTGCGTTCTATAAAACAAATTATTCTTTCGTGTAAAGAAAACATAATTATACCATGTATTTCTGTGTCATTTCTCCTGAGCTGAGAGGTTGGTGGATTGAATTCTTTATTTGTTTGGCATCTGCATGTCGACGGATCGATATGGATCATGTTTTAAATATAGATTTTTGAAAAGGCGTAAGTTGATATCCAGGCACTAGTCATGGGTGCTGAATCACTTCAAAGATTTGTTTATTTCTGGGATGTTTCAATTACTGTGCTCTAAATTTTGGAAACGCATTGATTTCTGCAGTGTTTTTACATATGAATGGATAGAGAGGCTCCTCCTTTTCCTACAGATCGGGAGCATGCCTCAACCATTTTTACATGGGTAAACTGCTCCCTTTCTTCAGTCCATGTGTTCGCTTAAAGATATTCTCCACTATTTTGGGGTCTAGCTAAACGAATTCAGGTTTGATTCTCCGTTAACAGCTAATGGAAGTACCTTGCAATGTGTGGACCACTTTCATCTGGAGACAAGCTGGGGGATGTTTTTCTGACCCTGTCCCTGTCATTTGTCTTGTCCATCACCTGGTAAACTGACGAGTACGGTCGACATAAATGCAGTGGACGCAGGACGTGGTGGACTTGTCAGCCAGCATGTGTACAATCCAGTGTTGACGAGCTTTGTAGGAGTCGCATCATTAGAATTCTGATACAGGGTTTAAGGTATTTCGGAGGCTTTTACCCTTCAATAATTGTTCTTCCAGTTTTCTTCAAAACCATAACAACTTAACTTCGTCTGCTCAGATTCATCTTCGGTTTGAGTTCGCTATGAGCGGTGTCAGGTGTTAAACCTTTGAAGGGCGCTCTTTGTAGATTATCTTTCTTAAACAAGACTCAATATCCTAGTATTATCTTTACAGCAACCAAACAAATTTTGGAAATCACGCTTGAGCTCAAGTTTCCAAACTTGATTTTTCTATATTGCATGTTCAAGAGCAGTTGAAGTGCAACATAAAGAGTAACAGTTAAAACCAAATGACTTGGGGATTCCTGTTTAGATAACTGTAAATCAGTCTCTGAATTTGCACCCTACTCGGTTTATCTGTAACTGCGAAACTTTTTTGTTGCAATTAACATCCTATACGGCAGTAATCTGGCAGTTAAATGTAGATTGCACTATAAATCCATTCTTTCATTTGCATGGCAGGCTATGTTTGAATCTACACTAGCACTCCTTTCGAAGACTTTCGCCAGCAATGTCTAGTGACGATCATCTGTAAAACAGATGTTTTTTCTGGAACCTAGTTTCTTCAAGCAGAATTTTGGACTTCAGGATCATGTGATATATTGCAAGGTTTTTGTAGACAAGGTAATCTTCTGGTTCTGCAGATCATGCACTCTCTTCAGAAGAAGCCACCAGGTCAGGAGTGAAGAGGAGAACCATCAGCAGGGGCTGTAGTGTATCCAACTGTGTCTGAGAGGTACAACATCAGATTCTATCTCCTTGGTAGGCACCTCATGACTTTCCTTCTCTGGCGCTGGAATCTCTAACACCTTTTTCACAGCAGCAGAGGGGTTAGAAGTTGCTTCTCTTGCTATGGGGGCAGCCGCGTTTCCCTTAGCGAAATTGTGGAGTTAGACTTCAATTTGTTCGAAGAATGTGGCGTACTGACCTTGATCGAGATTTCCAAGTGCAACCAATCCTCCCAGAAGATCCTCCGAAACCCATGCATGAATTCACTTACATCTCACTTCGGAAGATCTTCATGATAAACAAAAAACAAAAAAATAAAAAAATAAAAAAGGCGAAGCAAATGAAAGCAAAGATCTTTCTCTCAACATTGCAGACTAGCTTGGAATACCCGCAGACGCTGTTATTTACAGACAAGCTTGAAATTCTCAACTTCCTGAACTTGAGCGGCTTCGAGCAGCAGCTGCATATCACGCAAAGACACTTTCATTAAAACAAGCATCACCACAGAAACTGGTGTGCTGTTAGAGTAGAGAATTCGGGACTCGTTTGGTGATGCATTGGGGTTCAAATCTTCTCTTTGGAAGGTGAATCTACTTACCTGGCTGCATTTCGTTAACTCCTTGTCGGTGGGGGATACGGTGACCATCTGGTAAGGTCGCTGAGGGCACACTTTCTGCAACTTCTTCAATTTGCACGTTTACCACATTCTACATTCTTGACGCGTTGACATCCAAACCCATCATCCTTTGCTCCGACTAAAGCTGGTGCATCCTAGTCATCGCAGGCCGAAGTGGCAAACTCCTGGGCTTTCTCGAAAATATTCATCTACACACAGCAATATGGTTTGGTCAAGTACTGATCATCTGCATTCGAACATAGCCAACTAATGCCTTTGGCCACAGAATTCCCCTACAGCACCGCATACTTTGATTGATTTCAGAAACTTGTTCTAATCGAAGAAGCAAGAGCACTGGTGAAGAGATTCCAATCGCAGAGGAAGTCTGTCGGGAAGCCGATGTAGCAGTTGAACAAGACGAAGACACCTGGTGCTCTGTAACGCCAAAATAGATTAACTTATGTAGTTGCAGAGATCAACATATGCTAATCCTCGAAATGCACAAAACAAGGACTACGCAAAAAGCTCAAAGAAAAGTGCCAAGGGTAAAGGATATTGACGATCCGAATCATCCGATCCGATACGAGTATTTTCAGCAATAGAATTGTGCGAAGCATCTGAACAGCGCATCCTGCCGACCAGTTGAGTTTCAGACATTCGATCGGTGCTTTTGGGTCGGCACATATCATGGCTTTTTAATGGTGGATTTAAATTAGAGGAAGTTGACACCTAACAGACTTCTCCGAAAATGGAAGCAGCAAAATGAGTCGGTGCAAGCTCTGACATTCAGATGACAGTCTCATGGACAAAAGTAATGAGGCAGATTAAACACGAGGTGAAGCCGCTGAGATATTAGCAGAGTGCTTTAGTGATGATTCTCTGGACTGTTGCGCCAAATTTAGTAACGCAGTACTTTTCATTCCTTACTACATTTGTTGTATATAGCCATCATGTAGACATGCATAGAAGGAGTCTCCTTGGGTAAGTTAATATGCTCTTCTTGCATTTCACAGTTATCATTACCCATAAGCGAATTACATTAAATGGAAGTTGTGACGTTAAGCGTTCTACTAGGACTAGCATCAGGTGCTCTCGGTATTTATTTGGTGAAGAAATTATTGGACTGGCACGCATTGTTCGTGACCGGTGCATTTGGTATCCATGCCCGCAGACTAGATGAAGTCACTTCCATTGATATCCCACAATACATGAATGAACTGGATTCGAATCTATAATTTCATTCTGAACCATTGCAGGTTTCGCCTGATCGCATGGATAGGTGAATTTACACCTCATTCCCCTTTATATAGACCGTACACACTCCAACTTTCTAGCTACACCCAGAAAACAGCATAGGTTTGAAGTTTTGGTCTGCGTCTCACATCGAATATCGAGGCAGTCGATGGTGTCGGCATTTCCAGAAGCTTCACTTCAAATTTTGTGCCATGGAAGGTCAGTGACAAAGTACAACCAATTCCTGCTACATGTACTTTTTCCCGGCTTGATTGTTTCTATGCTTTTTACCCTAAAATCTCGACAGTAATACAAAATATCGTAAACTTTAACCAGGGAGCATTAAGGTGTTACGGTTTAGAAGAATAGAGACAGGACTCCATTGAAGGAACAGATAGATGAATACAACAGGCCTGAAATTGTGTCAGCAATTACCATATTGCTATAGAATCTGCAATACACAAGAACAAAAATGGGGTCGTAGGCGAGTGCCGAGAGAGTCCCCACATCAATTGTAACGAAAAACCCCTGATTTGTGAATTTCCGGAGGTGGTTTCGAAATTATTTAATACCTAAATGTCTGTTACAATATGTAACCAGAATGTACTGTAATGTACACTACGCACCAGCTCAGCTAATTTATGAACAGAACTAGAGAATATGCGAGCTCATTGCGCGTTCGAAACCTGATTCCACTCTCCATCAACCTCTTCTTTCCACAGGGTCACTTTGTTGCTGGAGTCAGATACTGCTAGTAAATTACCTGTTAGGGACCAACTTATCCGCCACACTGGTGTTTTGAAATCATTCAAAGTTAATGGCTGCCACTGGTCGCCATCTTTAGCCTGAAGTTCACATTCATAACTTTGTTAGTGGTGATTCAGAGAAGAAAGGGATGCAGGAACGAACAAACGGGAATAACTGCAAATGCAGGTAAACTACATTTGTAGAGCATAAGATCAAAAGCAACCCGAAGTTCCAGAGAAATCTTTATGGACAATGCTTTCTTCGGATGGTACACAATGAATTAACACGCAGCATAGTGCACACGTTGACAAGGTAGCTTGACGAATATATTTGATGGAAAAATACAGGGTACTACCACTAGAGCTTAGTTTCATGCTCGTGACAATTCTCTAGCATATACTACACTGGAGCAATAAAAAAACGATTAGAGAAAACGACGCTGCTGAGGTAAACCCAATACCTGAGTCCAGATAACAACTGTCCCATCTTGAGATGCACTGGCGATGGTGGACTTAACGAGTCCAAGATTGGGAGCCCATGCAACATCCCGCACCCAGTCAACGTGCTTGGAAAGAGGGGGAAAGCAATCCAATTTCCAGCTCCCATTGAGGAATTTCCAAACTTTGACGGTGTTATCACAGCCACCGGATGCCAGCTTCTGCACAGGCTCTGAATTGATACCAATCAAAGACCCCGGAGCGCTTGCAGGTGCCCACGACACAGACGTCACTCCCACGGGATGAGCCTGCTCAATCTTCGCCTTCTCCCAAGATCCATCCGCCTTTTGCGTCAGAACCGAGATCGTGCCATCTGATGATCCACACGCTAGGCATAAGCCAAATTCTTGAGGTGCCCAGCAGATGCTGTTCACTGATGACTCGTGTTCCTGGAATACCTGTGACCATGCTACGAGGTCTTGAAACTCAGACAGTACTTCATTATTAAATCTTTTTCTACTGTCAAGAAACCTCTACTTAATAAATAAATAAATAAATAAATAAATAAATAAAACAAAAAAACAAAATCTCACGCAAACCCTAGTTACGAAGTGACCACAAAAAAAAAACAAAAAACAAAAAACAAAAAAACGTAACAATGAGGTACAAGAGGTAGGATCCACAAAAACCTGGGCCTGCTGCCACTCATTCTCGGCGCCTTCCCTCCAGATGATGACTTTGCGATCATAAGAACAGGACGCAAGGATACTGCCGAATTTGGGATGCGCCCACGCGACCTGCCACACAGGGCCGTCGTGACCAGCCAGAGTGACCAGAGCCGTAGCTACGGCCGCATCTCCAGCAGGGCCAAGCGCGAACACCTTGATGAGGCGATCGGAGGAGCAAGTCGCCAACCGCTTGCCGTAGTAATCCACCGCCACATCGTGCACCACGTCCTGGTGGCCCGACTCCACGAATTGCTCTGCCCTCGTTGGCCCCATCGCTAGTCCAATCCAGTCCACACCCTAGACCTCAAAATAGAACACCCACGACGCAACACTGCTTAGTCTTGCGACCAACCGATCCGATCACTAAGACGTTCACAATCTCTCGGAATGCTGCAAAAATCACCCCGTCCAAACTTTCCAAAAACCAAATCCTAATTCAATGCTCTGGATTTCCACGTGGTGTAAGGAGACCATGCAAAGGGAGACCAATTTCTCGACACCGTGGTGGCCTGTGGACTTGGAGTGCGTTCACACATGCGGCTTTGCGATTTTTGCCACGAACCAATAAAGGAAAAAGGAAACGTTACTCACGTGGTTTGTTCAAACTTTGTTTGGTTAGTGACATGGGTTCATTTCGATCATAGGAGTAATGAAAATCGATTACATTGAGTAAAATGAAAAAATCAAAACAATATTGTTTTGATAAACTTATTTTTTTTACCTTAAGTTATTTTAGGAAAGAGTTATTTATGCATATTTATGTATATTTATGCATATAAATATGTATATATATATATATATATATTAAAATTTCAAAGTAATTTATTTTTTTATTTTATGCAATATATAATGACATATGTACTTTATTGTAAGCTTGGTAATAAAAATCTTTGTTTTTTATATTTAGGTATAGGAAAATTAGATTTGGTGTTATATATATATATATATATAAAGTCTTTCATGTCTTGAAAAATTAGCATTTTTATACAAACTTTAATCTTCAAAGATTTAGATTTAGATTTAGATTCTTTTTTTCTTTTTTACATAATGTATCTTGGAATTGATTAAGAATGTATTGTAAAAATAAATTTTTAAACCTTTTTCAATATATAGCTCAAGCATTGCTAAAAAGATAATGTTGGTTTACATAAGTATATAGCTTTGGCACAGTAGATATTAAAGTTGTAAATAATAATAATAATGATGTTTGGTATAATAAGTTATAAATTCGTCATAACCACGTCTTAATACTTAGAATATTGTATAAGTTTTAAAAATATGACCATTGATATAAAAACATATTATTTGATTACAAAGGCAATTTTGTAATTTATCCAAAAGAGAGGGGCTTTTTTTACCCTCTTTTTGGCAAGAGAAACAAGAGCATTGCTCTTATAGTAAAGATACACCTTATTTGGTAAGTAATCATGATATTTTGTGGACAATCTTCAAGGGATTTCACAACTCTAGTGCATACTTTAAAAGAACCAAAACAAATGTATGTAAAACAATTCTTAGTATAGAAACTTGAAAATGTATATATATATATATATATACATATAACTTTTTTTCTAATTTCTGTTTAACATATATATGTGCATATATATACATATGTAACTGTTTGTCTAATTTTTTTCAACAAAAGCTTATAATTTTTTTAAAAAAATAACCCATTACTTATTTAGCAACTTTGTCATCAGATTTTTTTTTTTTTTTTTTTTTTTTTTTTGAAATATGAATAGATAGAACTTTGTATTGATTATGTCAATAATTTTTTCTATCTTGTCCATTACAAATTTTCAATGGTGAATATAAGAGTGATATTTATTTTTTATTTTTATAAAAAAAATATTAATAATTATTATGTAGCATAAATAATTAAATATTAAAAAAAACTTATTCAAAAGAATAGATTCAGGATTTTTTTTGTACTACTTTTGAGCATTATAAATTCAACTGGTATTAATTTTTTTTATTCTTAAAATAATGTTTAAATTTGGGTAGTTTTTTGTCACAATAAAAACATATCCATACAAGTTTCTTGTAGATTTTGTTATGTTTTAAAATTTAAATAGAAGTTTGTCTCATTTCCAATTTGGATCTATCTAATTACAAATGTATATACTGCTTAAATAAACAACTTCAAATAGAAGTAGATAAAGATAGATTAGGTAGATAATACCTTTGTTAAGAAATATTAAAACTTTTTATTGCAAATTGGATCTTTACATATGCCATATGAATTTACTAATACTTCTTAGAATTAGTAAAAATCATGAATAGTATTTCATACAATAATTTGATTTGCCATATCATTTTATCTTTCGAATAATTAAGTTATTTCGTGATATAATTATATCTTGAAATAGAGAACACATTGTTGAAGATGCAATTATGAAATAACTAACAAACAAAAATAATTAAAAATCAATGTATTTTCTTAAAGAAGAGAATATTTAAATTGATGTACAATTTATTTTTTATGATTGATAAAAAAAAGAAAAAAGAAAAAAGAAAAAAAGAAAATCTTAAAAATCAAGAAAAAATCTTTAATGGCATAAAAAATCTTTCCTTTACATATTCATCCCACACCAACCTATGACGTAGTTGTTCAAAAGGAATTTGTTTTATTCCATGTGACATCCCACATACACTTAAGTCCAACACTTTATATTAAAAATAGTGTTATGATTTTTTTCATTAAAAATTCTGCTTTCATTTGTCAACATTACAATTTGCATCGTTGTATTCTTCAACAACTAGTTAAAATATGATGAAGATTTTCTAAAATGAATCTTAATCATGAAAATTAAAAGATAATAAGTTTGAACATGTGCAATACAGAAGGATCCAATTTTTGAATGAAAACGAGTTTCCAAGGCTAGCCATAGACAAGGGTTGTCAACTTCTATGTTGGTTTAATAATCTCTCAAGAAACATGATTAAACCACTGTGCACCTCCAATTCCAGTACCGTCTTAGAGTAGTGTCAAAGAGAACGGACAAAGACAAAGCACGGGAGTAGATAATGTCAGAGGACCATCTTTCAACAGTTGGTATGGCTACCATCAACGATCATATCAAAGGGTTGGCCACCACCCCATGTTGACGATGTCCTGTCAGCTGCAACGAAATCAAAAGAACTTTTCAATCCTGCAGCTTTAGTTAAAGAGAAGTTAAGGAACTAGTGTATTTGCTCGCAATCCGTTCCCATGACATCAAGACCATAAAGAACTCCAGTTTGTAATAACTGGGGCAATTGAACAATTGAAAAAGCATCCAAGGGCAGCTAAGAAGTTGAGTGTGGTAATAAATCTTCGCCTTAAAAAACCTGTGTAGACTGCCCCAGCCATGTCAATTTTTCTAGGCGCAGACGGAACTACCAAACGATCGTCCATATGAAATCAAGCACCGCCATAACCACCATGGACACGATGCTAATCTGTCATCCAAATAAAGTAATAATAAAAAAACATGACGACTAACTAAAGTAAAGAAAAGCATAAAAAAAAATTAACACATCAACAAAAGAAGCAAGGAAAACACGAACACGAACACGGACAATCAAAAAAGCAAGTACAAAAACTGTGGTTGTTGAAAATCTTACAATCAGGGCAGGCCTTCCCTTGAGACTACAGGTTCAAAAGCTTCAAGATCTACCAATAGGGGAATATACATCTCTACAAGTGGGGAACCCACAAATCCTCCATGCCCATCACCACCCGTTGCCGTCGACCTTGTCTACAACACACTGGACATCACCCGCAGACGTCACTCAGACTCTCCACACTCCCACGTCAATACCCCTCTCTTTTCACGCCCTCCTCATCCCACGCCTCGAATCCCTTCCCTCGTCCATCTCTTCGTTGCCCTCCTCAACAACTGCTTCCCATCTCATACGCTCTAATCCACCCCGCACCACCTCCTTTACCACAAACCTCCACCTCTCCGTCGTCGCCCCGGTGACCTCCCCCTCCCATGCGCATGTCATCGTATGATCCTCGCATCCTTCACTCCAACCACCTTCACCACGCTCATCACTTCAGTACCCTTCGTCCTGCGCCAACTTCGTCAACAACGCCGCGAACAGTTCGTCTCTCTTCTGTGCTCGGGCCTCGTCTCGGATTCTCTTCTGTTCCTCACGCTCTCGCCACATGTGCTCCCTCGCAATCCGCTCCTGTTCCAGCTTCTCCATCGCGTCTCTCCACTCCTGCTCCCGCAACCGCCGCTCCTGTTCTCTCCTCTCCACCGACTCCCTCCACTGCTCCTCCACCCTCTGCTGCTGCTGGAAGAAGTCCTCCAACACTTCTTGCATGCTGTTGGCACGATACTTCTCCGCTGTTACACGAGGCCGGTTGTTCTCCTTCTCGTTTTTCCTCTTCTTCCTCTGCACAACACGGTCCTCTTCGCTCTCTTCCTCCTCATCGTCGTCCTCACTGTCATCGTCATCATCACTTTTGGTTTTGCCCCTCTTGCCTTTCTTCTTGCCTCGAGACCCTAGCTCGGATTCCAGCAGGCTTTTGTCTGAGTTCTTGGCACGTTCTTTGAAAATAGCATCAAGTTCATCAAAGAAAGGGCATTGCCTGCCATTCTCAGGATAAATGGGATCCTTACCCTGCGGAAACTACATGTCGACATGCAAAATGTCAACACCCTGGTTGTAAGCATTCAGCATCAAAAGTACAGCGGATCACAGGGATTCGACAACAAGTCTATGATCAGCTTTGACCAGGACAAGGATGAATTATCAATCAACAATCCACAGTGGTCAAGCCAAAGAAACGAACATAAACGATGCGGAGTAAGAGCATGATGTAGACTGGACCTCGTAGTCAGGCTCGAACGTCTCCTTCCCCTGGAAAACGGACATGACCACATGATTGATGAGATAAAATAGTTCAGAATGTAACCACGCACTTGCAATCCTACATGTCACAGGGCTGTATAGTTTACCCTCATCGAGAATGCATGTGAGGTGAATAACATACAAGACAATTCCAAATTGAGATTGGAACAGGAGCATCGAGTCATATACGAAAAGGACGATCTAAACTTCAGAAGGAACCCCAAATTTTGTGACTAATTATCACGTCATGAAACCCTAAACCGCATTAAAAGAAAGGTGATATCCTAAGAGTATCTACACTACCGAACAATGCAGTTCGAGTTGCTATTTTCCCGGTCCGCATGTCGGTTCCTAATCGTCTGCACCACCTTCTATCAAGAATATGCTATCATAACCGAGCAGTGAAACTAATCACTTGTTGATTCCTTCATAAGGTGCAGGCTATGTTCAAACCCCATAATTAGGCTGCGAAGGAAGACGGAATTGGATGTGCATCAAGAGATGCCTCCAAAAGAAAGAAGCGCATAGAATATCGTTCAAAAATAATTACCAACATACTCATTTCACGAACAAGATTCGGTTTTCTATTAGCGTGCATGAAAAGGAAAGACCCAGTGCAGACAAATACCTTATAAAGATTTACCAAGTTCTTCCATTTACACTTGCATTGATCTGCACTCCTCCGAAAACCTTTCTCCATCATTTTCCTCTCAATCAGCTCCCACAGAGTCTTGTTCCGCTTGATCAGCGCGAAGTCTTTCTCTAGCTCTGCCCGAATAGAGATTAACTGCTTCGTTTCGTGGTACCCCCACTGGAGGATGCGATCATCCTTCTTGAGAATCCGGCCGCGAACCGGAGTGAGCGTTCCCAGATCAGGGTAGTTCGTGTCGTGCGACCCCTGGAGGGATATCGAATTCGGAAGCACACTTAAATTTTCCGCCATCAGCCTCGCCTGGCACACCACCTAAACCAATTTTCCGCAATCCTTCCCTTGCAATTATTACTGCGCACTACCCAACAACGCCAAATCCTTGCACCCTTTCTCTGACCCTTACCAGTAAGTAAAATTATTCCCTACATCAACCATCCACCGTGCTCAACTTCCAAACCTCCTTTCTTGAGGGAAAAAATAACTCCAACTCAAGCCACTCTCTTCCTCTTTCCAGGTCATCAAAAACCCTAAAATCACCTTAACCCTCCCTCCATCCCTTCCTCCCCTGGTGTATTTGCGTGCACCCACATTCGCGCGCGCCCGAGCCCCAGCCCGGATACATCACCGACCACTTCACCACCACATCAAAACCCAACTCTATACAAAAACAAACTCCAGAATTACCGTTTCCCGTGCATCCGCTTCCCAACCCACCATCCCAAAACTGCCAGATTTAACGAAACCATCCGCCCCTGCCCAAAAACCCAACACATGACTTCTCCTCCCTCACACCACACCAAGTTTAGCGACAGCTTCAACCTGGTCTCAGGCTCCTTCGCTCATTTCCACTCTCTTTCTTGCTCGTCCAAGACTCTGGTGAAGCTCTTAAATCTCCCGAGCCCGTGAGATGAGGCAAAGGCCCGAGAGAGACGCCGCGAAGGCGAGATGCGAGACGAGGCGTTGCTGGGCTTGGGCAGAATGGCGCCAAGTAACAGGGCAGCGGGAACTGGCGTTCTCCCGCCCTCGTCGTTCCCGCGCCCCAGTTCCTTCGTTGCCCGTGTGTGTGTCACCACACCGCCAGAGTCTACCCGTGGAGTATGTCCCAAGTGCATTTCGATGCAAAATTGTTTTTCGAGGTGAATTAAAAGATATTTAACATCAAAATAATATTTGAAGAAAATAATGATGATTTTTTTCTCTGAAAAAGATAAATATGAGACGGGAATCTTTCTCATATGTGCTTTGTTTTCAATGCAAAAGCAAATTATGCTCATATTTACCAATTGTATTTTTAAAGTTGCAATTGTCATGGAAGATGGTAACAAGTGTAGAGGAATTTACTAGAATCTAAAAATTGCACTTGATGTCACTTCACATTTGAACTATCAATTTTTTTAAGCCAATTATTCACACAAAATTGATTGATACTTGACTAGTATTCTACAATGATTTCTTGAGATCTAATACATATTTGTTGAAAATAGCCAAATTTTAAATCAAATATTTTTTGAAAATAGCCAAAATATAATATGAAATTATTTTAATTTTTATATTTGTTGATACAATTGATAACTAATTAATGCAAGCCAATAATTTGTAAGCTACATATTATATTAATAATTAAATAAAAAATATTATTAAAGATATTTAAATACTTAATAAAAAATAATGTGATACAGTTTTTTTTATTTATAGACAGATATGCGTATATATATATATATATATATATATATATATATTGTTTTAAAAAAACTACAATAATTTTAAATCACAATTTTCATCATTTTAATGTAAAAAGTATGCTTAAATGGATTTTTGTACCATTAAGTAGTTTTTTTTTTTATTTTTTATTTTTTATAATTATTTGTTGAAATCAAGTTTAAGTACTAGAAGTCTTACATCTCTTAGTTTCTTTTGTCAACTTATGGCAGTTACAATCTTCTCCACCTAAATCACATTGTAATAAACCTTCTAAAGTTCAAAAAGTTGTTATTTGGATATCCTTATTACAATCCAATAGCCTTTGACTACAACAAACTTGTTGAAAGCTCTTACTCCATCTCTTCCCTTTTGGCATATGTTGCTCCCCTTAGGGCTTTTGAAAGTGGTTGAAGTAGTATGAATGAGTATATACCAGTAATGCTTATTTAGGTGTCAATTGTGCTAGCAATTATGTAAGCAACAACAAAAGGAATAAAGTAGTGAAAACAAATTGGAATTCCTATGTCAACATTGTTGTTAGAAAGGCCATTTCTCCTATCCAATAAGATAGGCATGTGTAGCCTATAAAAATAAATGTGACAATAATAATAGCAAATGTAGCCATAATTGTTTCTACACTATAAATACAAAACACATATGGTTTAAGCTTTCAATTGTATCACTTATTTTTGTAACTTTTTATAGTAACTTTAAAATATATTAGAGCTACTATATATATATATATATAGATAGATATAGACAAGTGCTTTTGCTAAGTAGCATCTCACATGCTACTAGAAGCAAACTTTGAATCATTAAACTCAAAGAATATGATAAACATGTAAGTTCTGTAGTACAAATGTATATTGTCCTATATTGTATTCCATAATTGGACTAATATGCATGTTATACTTTCATTAAAGCTTCGGTGCTGTTCACTTGATAAGCAGAATTCATGAGACAAAGCTTTATCGATAGTTGTTAGATTAAAGGACCACTTTCTATTGAAGGATACCTTCTGCATACGAAGTCTAACTCCAACAAGAAAGAGCTCCAATACTGTGTCATATACATAATATGTGATAACCAAGAACTACAAGACTAATCTAATGATTCTGTTGGAAAGAATGTTCCATGATACACAGTAAAATGGAAGATGGTTAATGTGTAAAACTACTATGATGATGTGCACAACAAATCTTCTGTGTAGGCACTTCCAGTGGTGATACATCAACGCCAGACAAGGTCACCCATAAACTTCAGGGCTGGAACACCTCTAATCTCTAGGTCAAATAATGGAGACTGAACTATTTCTAATGTTTTTAAATTGGCATCTTCTGACACCAAGTCCATCGCTTTTTTTTGATCCTGCAGTCACCACACGAGGGTTGGCAAAAGTTGTGTAATATGTTCTGAACAGCTCGGCAATAAATGAGAAAGAAAGTCCAATGGCACACGCTTTGCATAAACACTTCATGTTTCAAAATCCTTATGGAGGCACACCTTGCGTTTGACTGCACAAAACTTGCAGTCAGAATTAGAAGGAGGTAGTACTTGATTCACAATAAGCCGCTTTACTGGGACTCCTCCTTTTTCTAAAGAACTCTTTAACCGTGAACTTTCACTAATGGCCATGACCTGCAAGAAAAATCAGCCAAAAGATGAACATTGACGTGCGAAAAAATTACTGATGACATGCTTAATTACGTTGAAATAGGAAAATATTCTGAAATTGCTCACCGTGGGAATGGTCACAATCACAAACTCAGTTGTTTCCTTATTTCTGAAGATCTCCCGAACCATAATCATTCTCTCCTTGAGTGCCTCTAATTTGTCGGTCTGGCATCCAACAGTGCGATATTAGCGAACGACAACACTGGATTCTATACGTTGCATTTAACATGAATAGAAGCCGCAGACTTCATTCCAGAACTATCACTAAACAAATAAAATTCCGACCAATGACAATAATTCAGACAATTACATAAATCGGTGGTATATACGTAAACAGCCGCAATATCCGGCACATAACTTTTCACCACTTCAAAAAATACATCCGGATGTAGTAAAGCACAAGGTCTATCATACAAACCCGGAGCTCATGTAATAGGTACTAGAGAAAGTACAGCAGGACTAGTACGTACAGCCTTGTCACTTCCGTTTTCTTGACCAAACACAGACTTGATTGCTGATGCTGCGCTCTGAATTTTCTTTTTCAACTGTCAAGATTATCATTCAAGTTCATCGTTCAAAATAAGCAGTGACGTAACAGAGAATTTGCTGTCGATGTGCTTTTTTGACTTTTCATTAGTTTCTCGTTTGTACATGTCCAGAAAAATTAATAAGCCAAGTCATGAAGTAGGTGCGGTTAGATGGAAATGCGCACCTTCAATATTTTACCAATTGAAGCATCCAGAAAATCCGGCAATGACAATAAACGTAATGTATGTCCCTGTCAGCACAAATGGCAAGGAGGAATAAATTGACTTGTCCCGTTCATCAATGCAAGCAAGTTCAGTAAGAGACAGCCTCTCGAAAGAAGGCAGAAGCGTGAGTAGTACTGTTGGTGCAGTATCGAAGATGATCCGCGTGAACTTGCTATACTCAGGAGCTTGCATAAATTGAACAACCTGCCCAGAGCACATTGTGAGTAAAATCAACTAGAAGTACGCATGATATATATTAACCAAACCAGCTGATCATACATTTTTGATTGAATTGAAAGCTTCACTTTACACAATCGAATGAGTTAAAAGAGAATTGGATGTGAATGGGACTTACTTTGGATATTGCGATGGCTTCATCAAGGCCTGGTGGTGGGGTATCCAAAAGCTCACCAAGTTTCAGCTCACTTAACTGTAACAAAAGACAACGGAAATGTGAACCTTTCAATCCATGTCCTTCAAAAATCATTGAGTTTACTGAATGAATTAAATAAGCCTTCAGCATTATCCCAAAAAACTAAATTCAACTTTTTGACGAGTGATATTACCTCGTCCACCCAACCGCCTAAACCCAGGCTGTCCATAAAATCTTTGACGCCAGTCCCCCCATCTTTAGAGACTGACGTACGAAACTCTTCCCTAGCTTGCTCTGGGTTTATCTTTGTATCAACATCACAAATAACATTCAGCAACCTCACGTATAGTTGGTTAATACTGATTTACAAACAATATTTTCTTGCAATCGATTTTCTGAACTTGCTCATTTTATATTCTGTAAATTGTTACACCGTACACCTAGAAGGCAACTCAGAGGTCTTGCATATGGACCAACTAATGGAATCTTTAGGGCATGAATGATAAAGGACAAACCTCCATGGCATACAATGGCAAATCAACACCATCCACAGGCATAATTGTTCCGCCGCTTAAATCCTGCATCACACAGGTTTAATCAGCTGTAATAACCACGAAATCGCAGCAACTTAGGAATAAAAGAAAATTACTTGAAAATGTACACACAAAGACGTCCGTTAAAAGACAATTTTAAAAATAAGGATTGCTGAAGTGCGAAACCTCGGAGTCAGATATCCAGTAGATCGTTTTTCAAACCATACTACTGTACTTTTTTTTGTTCATTTGTTGGTAACGTTTATGTCTTTCCGTCGCCAGCGCAAAGACGAAGTTTTTTGAAACCATCCTCAAAATCTACACCTAAACATAGAAGAACACACTCTTGCTTACATTAAGAAAAATATATACAAACGTTGCAAGTATACCTGAGCAAACGAGTCGCTGAGTGAATGAGCTGGGTCTGTAGAAACGACCAGAGTTGGATGGCCACTATTAGCAAACTTAACGGCTAAGCTAGCAGCAAGACTAGTCTTTCCCACACCACCCTTGCCCCCCAACATGTAATACTTCCGTGTTGTTCCTGCTATCATCTCATCAAATCCCTTGTTGACATCAACTGGATTCGCCACTGCAGCCACTACACTCCAAAATCACCCCCAATCCGAGTAGATATAAGTTAGAGAGTTGAGCTCAACCAAAGGCAATGTCAATAAAATATAGAAATGCCGAGAAGATTCGAACTGCTGACACCATAGTTGCAACGATCACAACCATCAGATTCGTGTCATCTGAGCGCTACATGTCACATCCTTAAAAAATAATTAAAAGACTGAAACCTTATCATTGCTGAGAATGATACCTTAAATGATTACAATCACTCTTGAAGAAAAAGATTACCACACGCAAAACAAAATCTGCATGAAGCTTGTATATACTGCACATTACAACTACAATGAGCCAACGATTTCGGCAAGCATATTCTCATGATCGCATTATACCAACTCTGCAGAGAAGATAGACCAAATTTAAAAGCTGAAAGAAACGTTAATTTGGTTCTGTGAAACATTACATTGCTAAAATGAATTCACACTGGTCCTCAAATACGTCGATTACCAGCAAAGTCTACTGCTACTTCACTTCAAACAAGGATGCATACGCCTCACCAACACTGGCAGGGCGAGGATCGCGAGAAAAACCTACACTCAACTCGCTCATTGAATGTAATATTCAATCCAAAATTGCTGACCTAAACCGCTAGTGGGGAATACAGTCCTTACTGAAAAGCAACGAAGTGAAGGCAACATACTCCAAATATGAATCCAAAACACACGAGAGTAATAAAGGCATCCGCTTAACTAAAATCGCAATGAAATTGAGCTGCTAGGTCGGAGCCACCATTAATTGATATAAGAGTTCCAAACTCTCGCAGCCCTTAAAACAATCCCTCGTCACCTATCTAATATTTGCAAGTCGAGGATTCAGGTCCCTCCAAAAACTATGATAGGTTTTCAACGGCGGTATTTTATAATCCGAATACCACAAGGAATGCGAGGTAAATCCATTATAGGCCTAAAAACAGTGGCAAATGATCCAGGAGCTGCAATTCGTTCATCAATGAACAAAAGTACCGAAGCAGATGAGAGTATTACCTGTGAGAAAAAAGCCGCGCTGATCACGCTCTCCTGATACCAAACTATATCTACGAAATCTCGAGAGCTCTTGAATACGAGAGCTCCGCAAAGAGCACGAGGAGAATGCATGGCTCACAGCCTTTTCTGAAGACGAAGCCTCCAGCCGCAGCGAGGCAAAGCAGCAATTTCTTCCAGACGCCCGCAGCACCGTAGAGGAACTGGACGAGTACGAGGCAACTCCAATGGACGACACAGGCGCAATACACATTGCCGTGACTGCCATGGCTGAGTAGACGAGTCTACAATTTCAAGTTGTGAACAGAACAACACGACTCAATCTACCTCTACCAACAACTATCGAATCCACTTTCACATTCCTGAAGCGCGAAACAGAGCTACGAGCTACAGAATTCAAAGCACTAGTGAACTTCCAAGAGATGTGCAAAAAAGGAAAAGTGCTTCAGTTTCACTCGACTTCGTACGAAGTGGCTAATGTGGGCCATTTCGGAGATACTCGGGATTGTACTGCAAGTTAGAGACGACGGATGTGAACCCTGAATCATTCCTCGCTTCCAGCTAGAGGGAGCTGTGGATAGTGCAGTATGGGCTAACGGGAGGGCGGCAATTCGTGGGCACTACGGGACGGTTGAGATGCCAGAGATAAGTAGACACAATGCTCTTCATGAAAGAGATTAAATAAACGAGGGTTTTCGTCGTCGTAAGCATGCCTTCTTATCCATTTGACAATTCTTTTCGTTGTGAATTCTTCGAAAACCTTTAGTGAGATGTGAGTTCGAAATAAGTATTAGGACGAGTGCGTCAGCAAAAGCGGTGTATTAGTTGACGAGCAGTTGATTGGATACAATTCACAAGAAATGGATAGTGTAGATTATTAACCTGCAGGTTAGAAAAGACGAAGAAAAGAGGAAACAGGTCAAGAAAATTCAAGTAATAAATTGTAATGCACAAGGGTTACCGTAAGAACAGCCTAAAACTTGGGCAAAGATTTGATGCGGGGTCGCAAATAAGCGAGGCGCGTGATTGATTCAAGAAAACTAAACCAATAATCAGTCCTAAGGTATCAAAAAGTTTGCTGGGACGAATATTATGATCATAACCAAAGCATTAGTGGCCAAAAAACAGTGCCATACTGCTTTGCGATTAACTGACGTTACAGAGGAAATTGTTCTTATCTGGAACTGAGAGACTTTCTCCGTGCACCTACGCTTTTCTTCTTCTTCCTACCTAACTTAGTCCCAGTATTACTTACTTGTACTGGAGTAGCATCATCATCACCTGCAGAGTCGTTTTTGTCACCACCGTTTTCGGTCAAACCATCCCTTGTTGGCTCAACCTCTACTACAGCCTCAGGTGCATCTGAGTTTAAAAGCACTTGCGATGAAGTCTTTTTCTTCTTGCCTGAATTAGGTTCAGGTGTTCGTAGACCATCCTCCACCGCCACTTTCTCATCGGCCGACCCTCCGGCGCCTTTTCTTTTCTTTTTGGATTTGGATGATTTTGAGCCATTTTCAACATTTTTAATCTTACAGTTAGCATCTGCTTCTCTACCATTCTCTACAAATGCGTCAACCATCTCATCCTCGGTTTGATCGAAAGTTTTCCCATCATGAACACCATTAGCATCTGTCATTGTTGTCTCCTTTTCCTCCAAACTAACGTCCATTCGATTCAAATTTTCAACAATTGGCCAACTTGTTCCCTGCGTCAAATCTGCTGCATCTTTGATTTCAGGCCCAGATAAGTTGTCCACAGGTATAAGCACGTTCATCCGAGCTAACGTGTAATCCAGTAGGAAAATGCTCCGAGAAAGTCGGTCGATCCTGCTAGAGTGACGCTTGGTATATGGAATTATTCCTTCCATAAGTTCTCGCACTTGAGGTATCTGCGTGATCCAGGCAATAGAAGGTTCAACAAAAAGAAATGGAACACTAATCCCATTGTATTCTTAATTAAATTGCTCAAGGAAGAAAAATATCTATTTCACTATAATAACCTTGCATACCAAGATACAACAATATAAAATCATGATAATTAAGGATAAAAAGCTGAAAACAGGCATATACTTAACAGCTGTGCTTCACGAAGATATACATCAAGAAAGTGATGACTTTGATGTGATATTTGTTAAAACGTACTTATATGGTCTACGAACAAAATTCAAAACAGAGAGAGCATATAAAGCCTACATACCTCCACTATTTTCGACACAGGGACCACAGAGAAGAATTCATGCAGAACACGCTGCGCCACATGACAGGATTTTGGCTTTGTATTCCAGTCACGAATGTATTCTAACATAAGTTTCCAATAATCCTTATCGAGCGACTGCAATATCTGCCGAGTGTGAACATCGGCCCCTTCACTCCTGCAATGTACCATGCAAACAAAAATGAAAAGGCCTCTAGGGTATTGCCAGCCAAATCCGATAAGAAGAACACAGCGATGATACTTTGCGTTCCTACAACCTGTTTTTTGAGCATCTACAGAAAAATATGTAATCAAGGTAAATACATGAATGCAAAGTTGAGGTAAAATACCCTAATAATTCAGTGAAAACTTTTAACACTCTAAAAGGCCGTCGAAGTTCAAATGCTAACTGTACTGCTTTGACCCAATCTGTGTCCGCCAGGGCATTTGATAGATCTTGGTCTTTCAGCGCTTCCTCTTCCTGAAAAGGGAAAAGAGCGGCATCAAAGATAGAAAAACAGCGGACTGTGAGATGAACTGTAAAAGCATGCGTCCTTAATGATACAACAATATCTATTGATTAACCAACTGCATATCTGAGTTCAATGATATTCAGCATTAACAGACTATGTGCAGACAGATGAAATTGAACAGAACTAAGACCGGACATTTAAAAGACCATAGACAATTACTGTTGTTACATATAGTGAAGAAAACCACTAAGAACCATTAAGAAAACTTCGCAAAACCTTATTACGACTTGTACCTCTTGACGTATAGCTTCTTCTTCATCATCAACCGTGCAATCTGTCCACATGTTGACCACTGAATCACCGCCACCAGTTGCCAACTTTTCCGTACCTGAACTAACAGCTAGAGCCCATATCTGAATAGGAAAAAGACAATAATATCGTGCGTCAAACCTAGACATAACTCAAGATCCCATATCCTAGCAACCTTAACATAAACTGTCTCGTAAATTCCCAACAGTGGAAGTAAATTCTAGCGCATACATCAAGGAAGCCTGCAATCCAAACTGAAGCAGACCTCCTGAACTTCTGAGAACAACGGTTCAAAGATCGCAAGATTACCTTGTCTTCATGATGATCAAAGGTGTTGACACATTCATTAGTCTTGATGGTCCACAGCTTCACCAAACCATCGGCTCCTGCACATTACATCAGAAAACTTTCATGACATTTACTTTCTGGCATTTGAAATTCACATTCACAATCTGCAAGATGTCTTATACATTGAATATGCCCATATTCAACCAGGTGAAGAAGACACCAGTTTTGAATTCATTAATTACCAAATGAAATAGAAGGTGAAGTTTGAAGGCAAATTTCAGACTAAAAATGCCACTCCTACTATCGAAGGATCCATAGACGATCCAAATTGGAAGAACGACTGTCGGCTTCCATACCTGCAGAAACCAGCTGTGTTCCTCGAGTAATAAATGAACACTTCAATACACTGGCAGTGTGTCCTTCGAAGGTTTTCAAGCACGAGCCATCAACAAGTGACCAAATCTTAATTTTCATGTCTCCCGATGATGTAAGAACAGCCTGGTCTACTGGGGAGAACTCCACACACCACACTCCTCGCTTATGCCCTTTCAGCGTGAATACTGGAGTTAATCCAGGAAGCCTCCAAACTTTAGCAGTTCGATCCTGGAAGATCAGCAACCATGTCAGTTACTTAATGACATACTATACACGTAATATACAACTGGAAGAATTCTTTATGAAATTACGGAATTCAAGGGAAAGTATCAGAATCATACGATGTGTTCAAAAAAACCCGCTTGTATATTTTTCACAAATTCCACAAAAACTACAATGAGTATGACGGTGAGGAGTAAGAATGTAAGACAGATTGAACAGGATAAAAGTAGACCTAGACTTAGAGAAGGGCTGTCGTTTTCACCTGTGAACCACTGCATAAAAGGCTGTCGTTAGGGGCAACAGCTAAAGAATTGATATCTTTTTCATGAGCTGCTGCAACAGCCTGTGAAGAGAGTTTCACGACCTCCGTGATGTCCTCTGCTGCGACCAGAGCTTCAATATTCCAAAATTTTATCGTGCGATCACTGGCACAAAAAGAAAAATTATTAGTTGTTATTAATCCTCTTCTAATACAACGCAAAGCATCAAGTTTCAAACTTTAGTGAGTTTTTGCTGGATGGTGTAGATAGATGGTATAATCCACGTTATTCCGAGGAGAAAACAACTGAGGATTGAAAACCTTATGTCATGAGAGACAGACTGATATCGAAAGAAACATAACTGGAGTAATTGAAGTACCGCACCTGCTACCACTGACTACAAAATTCTTTTTCTTTTTGGAAAAGGCAACTGCTCCAACTGCTGCCATGTGTCCAGCTGCAACAGCTAAGCAAGACCCAGTTGAAGCATTCCAAATCCTCACCTGAGAATCAACACAATAACTTACGTTGAAACCTACTTCAGAGGTAAGTAAACAAAATTAACAAGCATGCATGAATTTCATTACTAATAAAAACGATAAGTATAAAACCCCATTTGGTTCCCACCAATATGACACACCTCACGTACAGCAGAAATAGCAAAATCAACTCCAATACAGGACACCAAATATTCAGTCTCCCATTGCGACGACGCAGTCATTGCTCACTAATCGCCGAGCAGCATGCCACACATAAAAACTAGAAAGAAATATGTACCGAGTGATCTTTCGAGGAAGACGCCAACAGGGGTACACCTGCAGTAGTTACACAAGAGTCCAGAGATAACACTATGTCGGTATGGCCCACTAGTTCTTGTTGGCATGTCATAGTTGTCATATCATAAACCCTTACCTGCACCATTCAAACTTTGCTATAAAAACATGCAAGAATGGACAACCTATCTGCTGGCAGCAGCAGTAGCCAGCTCATGTTGACATCATATTTGAATAAAAGATTCCAAAAGAAAAAACATGCACTTCATAGGTTTAGCACAAATTCAGCTTCTTGACATGTAACTACAAAGTGAACATGTGGAAACTAGTGATCGTGCACAAGAATTTGTAGACGTCAGCATGCAGCACACTTCGGGAGGGAAATGAGCTTGAAATATAAACAAGCATGTGCACACAACACTTACCTGTTCCAGATTAGTGGCTACAGCCAGTGAAGAGTCACCGTCACCCAGAAACTTCAGATCGATGATCTCTTCATTGTACCCAATCAACCGCCTCGCTAACTTCAAATCTTTCTCATCATTTTCTTGAGTATCAGACGTGTAAAATAGTAGACGTTGATCTGCAGTTACACACATTACTTCACCCTGAGATGGTAGCCAGGCCGCAGCAACGAAACCTCCCTTGGCATCTTCCTGTTTCGAACTTACTGTTGCGTCTGAAACTTTCTGCTTGTACAAGCAGGTAGCGCTGCACCAACCCGAGGTACGTTAGTGGAGACTAAAAATAAATAAATCTCCCGACATATGCTTCAGCATAGAAACCATTCCAACTTCTAAGAACATATATTACAGCTCAGTGCAGGCTCAGTATGAAGTATACGCAGTATGAAGCTCGAATATTCTTTCACCATCATCCCACAACGAAGGCAATGCTGGACCACGTAAACTAGCGAACATATGCAACATGAAGCACTGTGCACGTTGTCAAAGAGGGCAAGCGCTTTCAAAATTCAGACGTGGATTTTTCATATTTTTCACCACAAGAATCTCATGACTTAATTGTACCTGTGAGATTCTTGACGTGAAAAATATGAAATCCACGTCTGAATTTTGAGCATCAAGATATAGACTTACCCTGCAGTGTTCCAAACGGAAACAATTCCTCGCTCTCCAACTGTCAATAAATTTAGTGAAGCCTGACCACTCTTTTTCTGAGCCGAGGAATCATTACTACACCCTGGTAGGCCACATCCCTCTGGAAGCACCAAAACTGTTTCAATAGCTTCATATATAGGGACAGCTATCTGTAAACTGTAGTCTCGTAAGTTCCACACATTCACCACCTGGAAAAACGAAGCAGAAAAGCACATAAACAAATTAACTTCGGATACTCCTCCTCAATAAAAATCTAAAAACCTCATACAGGCTTGACGAACATCCAGGAAATTACACTATTTTTCGGTACAATAGAATAAGTCCAGATTATTTGAATACTGAGCAGAGAGAGGCCAGGTGAGTAACATAGTCGGGTGAAACGTACCTTATCCCTTCCAGCGCTCACTAATGTCCAACCATTTCTTGAAACATCTAAGCTTGTCACGGCTGAGAAATGTTTGTTCAATATTGCAGCACAAGTTTTCGTGACTAGATCCCAAACTCGAACAGTTCCATCATCGCTTCCTGAAAAAAGCTGCTATCCACGACTCGTTCTATTACTGATCACGGTACGCAAACTCAACAATCAAATATGTTGTGAATCAAGATGTAAAATCAAGTGCCAGCGTGCGGCCTGCTTCCAGGTGCATTCTCTCTACGGTACTTCATAGTAAGACCTCTGATATGGTGGTTAAATTAAACCCAGACAATAATGCCATGTTACGTACCAAAAGGCGGTGGATGTCAGGGTGAAACTGAACGCATGAGACCACCCCCGTGTGACCCTTGAATGCGTGTGTGCAGAAACCTCCTTCTATGTCCCAGACAAGCACTCTTCGATCAGCGCTCGCTGTTGCAAGCAACCCACCCGAGGCGTCCACGGACATAGCTACCACAGGGGCGTCATGTGCCTAGAAAAAATATTCAATAACACTAATTATAATTCTACCATTTTTTTGAGAAACTAACTTATTTCAAAACAAAAACACAATCGTCTGATGAATAGAAACCGCTATTAGTAACATAACACTTATGCGAAGATCTCTACGTAACTAAAATGCATTTTTGATAGAAATTTTTAAATATACACAATCAACACATCCTACTTGATGACATCCGATGAGGGATTCAACACTTGTAACAAAAGACTACCGAAAGTCACAACCTACTCTTCTAGAAGGATTTCTCACCATTGCAAAATTCAAAGGACCTGATAAGTTCTATTAAAGCCGTTTCAATCATACAAACATGTATTATACTGAATTCCTTCCGACTTGCATAACTCGTTTCGAACACTGCATGATATGCGCATAGGCCAGCTAGTACTAAAACGAATCAGCTGCTGCAGCAGCTGAATTAGCGAAAGTGATCAAATGAATGCTTCCAAAAAGACTAAAGTCAAAAGAAATAACGAACATGCGCCTTCCGGGTTTAGGGTTTAGACATTAGAAACTTCTGCCATATTTCTGCGAAATGACCCCGGCTACTTCAAGATTCTTCTGCCTCACTTCCCGTACGAAAAAAAACACTCGTGATTGTGGTTGGGAATTCCGAAACCGCAAGGGAATTACCTTCCAGGAACGTAGACAAGCTTGGGAACTCAAATCCCAGTGTTTAATCTGCAGACTTCGGCTAGCAGCAAATAGAGTGTTCCCATCGGGACTGTAAACAATGGCAGTGATGGGCTCGGTGTCGCCCTTGAACGTTTTAACAACCACCCCAGTAGCGAGCTCCACAACCTTCACATCGTCCGTGCAAGCACATGCCACAGTTTTTTCATCGGGCGACACAACCACAGGACCTCCCGTGTAAAATAGCTGCAACGCAGGCGAAACCTTGAAATTTTTCTTGTAACTCAACGCTGACGCCATGGCCAAAGCCCTGACTCCGCAATCACCAGGCTTCAAAATCTCACATCAATTCAAATGGACGTCACTGACACTACACTTCCTCTCGTTAGCAATAATTCGGCCTGTGCTCCTAAAATTCCAATCAACAATCCTGCAACTACAACTCTGAGGAGAGATGCCGTGCTACAACGCTCCTCCGCGTCGAGTCGGAGACAAAACCCAAAAGCGTTAAACCCTAAAAGGGATTTAATTCATGTCAAGCCTCAGGACGTGTAGGGTTTTAGGGCTTCAACCCACGTCCCTATCAAGATCCCGAATGGGGTTCCTAACGAGGTCGTCAGTTTTAGGACCTGGTATTTAAGGCAGGGTTGATTTAAATAATGGTGCATCTAAGGTTCAAACCCCAACTTCTGTTGACCCACTTAAAATTTAGCAATAGAAATATAGGAATGTCTACCCTTTTTCAATTCTCAACATCATAGTTAATCAGATTTCCAATAAATTTGTTTAGTTATATACTGTGCCACATGCTAATAGATCTTATGATAATATTTACTTGCATTGAATTAGATTATTAATATACAAAGCATGAAATATGATATTCTCAAATTGAAAATTCTTGGGTTGATTTTTCATTAGTCTTACACCAGGTTTGTACCACAAAATATTAAAATAAAATAAGAATAAAATAATTAAAAGCTTAGGTATAGTATTTAAATACAACCAATTCAAAATTCAAAGAGTCAAATTGTTCAATTTAAGTTTTTTTGCATTTAAATCAGGTACAACCAACAATATTGAGTGAGAAGTACGTAATTAACTATAGTTTTTTCATGAAATGAAATAATTCGCTTATTACTTTAATTGAAAATTGTACTAGATGTATTTCAAACTTCATATTCATGAATGAGTAGTACATATAAACACTAGCTTTACTTATAAATATGTATGATGCTTCTAAAACTAAAATCTAAGAATTAATTTTCAATCTTTTAAAAATATATATATATATATATATATATATATATATTTATATTTGCACTACTAAGTTTGTGGCAATAAAGTACATTTTCACAAAATCAATAATTTTAACTTTCAAAATTGTATTAAGCTGATTATTCTATTTTGAATAAAAACATTTCTATAGTTCTTTATTGAATATCATGTTATTTGTAAAGTAGTACACAGTAGTAACATAAAAATTAAAGTCTTATATGATGAAATCCTAGAATATGTCTGCATGTCCACTACAACCTTTGTTACTTTGATTATTCTGGTTCTTAAACTACTGCCAAAAAGTTATAAATAACATTGGCAAAAGATTGATTCAACAAGAAATAATCTATTTTTATATTTTATTCAATAGTACTTTGACAAAGAAATGATTTAATTTACACTATGAATATAAGTTTTTGAAATGTTTTGAGTTCTTTTGTAAGTTAATTAAAAAATATTTAATATCTTTAAAATATAAAATTTATTTTATAAAAAAAACTACAAAGTGAAAATATTTCTTAACTGGAATAAATTAAAAATGACAAAATAATTAATTTAAGATTATTTCAAAAAATAAATATATCTTATCTTTTAAGATTTCTAATTCATTTTTATTAGTAAATAAAGGTAGGTTGCAAGCAATAAAAGGTTTATCCAAGTAAATCTCAATTGCCATTTTGGATTGCTTAAATAAGAAAATATTATATTTTTTAGACAGCTTAAGTTTTATTGCCAAGTTTAGATGATAAGTGTTTAAAATATAATGTGAAATTTGGTGCAATTTGGCATAGAAGTATGAATATAATATTAATTTAACTACTTAAGTACTTATTGTCATTTTTTATTCATGCATGCAACAAAAAGCAAAGAAAAAAAACCAAAAAACCAAAAAACCAAAAAACCAAAAAACCAAAAAAATTGTGCAAAGATTACATTGATATTACTATATTATATTCTACATCTTATTTTAAATAACTTAAATTTAGTAAGGCCAAGCTAGATTTATTTAAATATATATATATAATTCTTTGACTCAAACAATCTAATTTTTCTTGGACAAATTAATTGTTATACATTACTTATCTTTATTTTTGTTGATTTATTCAAATAAAATAAAAAAAATCCATGATGTAAGATAAAGACTTGTCTTATCAAAGCAAAATAAATGATGTTGATGTTCAAAAATGAAGTATAACTTAAGAGCACTCATATTCAAGTACTATAAAGTCCATTGAACTCATTGTTATATTATCTTTGAGTTTGATAATTTTTTAATGAATTGAATCTATAATGACAACTCTAAATTTCTTTACACCTTTAGAAAGCGACTTCTTATGTATTGTATATTCAATACATTTGGTACCAAACATTAGATGTTCTTAATGTTTAACTTATAGAGAGAAGTTTAGAATTAATCTGGTGTGGATATCAGATTGATGTTCTTACTAAATACAATCTCTCTTAAAGATCATCATGTCTAATTTTGATTTTATTTATATTATTAATTAAGTCAAAAATAAAAATAATAAGAGGTATTGCTTTAGCTTAGCTTTCTAGGATTTGATTTAAAAACTATATTACTCATTGTTCAAAATGTTATTATTATCAATTTAAAACTACATGCTATGAAAGCAACTAAATTCCAAAGTCTTGATAAAGATGTGTAAAGATGTCAATGAGAAGTAGAGGTAAAGTTTGAGATAAAAGACTTTTCTTATAGAGAATCATGAGCTAATTACCCGGATATTTGAGGTTGTGAGAGCTACTACTTTCTAATTAATTCAAGCCAAGTTCATTTGCTTTTGAATGTTTTTATTTTTATTTTTTATGTTAGATTATTTTCTTTCATTGTATTGTTATATACTTGCTCCCTTCTTTTAGCAATATTTGTACTTCTCAAGAAGCACTTTAGTCAGTGCTTACATTATATTGTTATATATTCTGGACCAAGTTGGGATCATTCTCCTCCTAAAATGAAATATAATCTGCGGTGGCATTATGTCTCTCTACAAAACTTCAAGTGATGGTTGTCGACGAGATGAAGTAGTAGCAACCGCTCATTAATTGTTGTTGGTGAGAAGAATTGGCAATATTTATCTATTAATTGGTATTGATAAGAGAAAGTAGCATCTAATGAATTGATCATTGTTGGAAAGAAATAGTAGACAATTCAAACAAAACTTACATTTTTTGTTTAAGTTTGGCATAAAAAGCTTAGAGGTTTGATCCAATCCAAAATATAAACAAAGATATAGAAAAGTTTGATCTAAAGAAGAGATTTTACAAATAGTAATTGACCAACAATGACTAATTTGGATAAGTGATCCAACAAGAGTAATTTTGAATATAAAATGACTTAATCTTAGAAATATGAAAGCAAAAGCTTCAATATGAAAGATTCTTTGTGATGGAAGATAACAACATCAAATCTAGTATTAAAACTAAAAATAAAGAAATGAAGAATCTTTAGTTCAAAACTTAGAGTTAATTTTGACAATATCAAAACATCAATTATATTTTAGATTTAGCTTCAATTGGACTATATACATAGTTATCTATAATTAGCTTTATTTTCTCATATTTTATTATATTTTTTTAGTAACAATCAAAACTAATGAAAATCATACATGCTCAGTAATTTGTACCCATTTTATTGCTTACAAGTCTACAACACAAGAAATAGATTCAAATAGAGAGTTCGTTCCTAAATTCTTTTATTATTAAAAATTAAATAGAATTTTAGATTTTATAATAGCTAAATAATTTAAAAATAGTTATAAGTAAAATTATACCTAACTCAAATCTAATTGTTATAAGAAGAGTGAATACAATTGTGATAGACATACATAATTACTCCTATAAATATTTAGATAATATGCATAAATAAAAGTAGGTAAAAATAGATTAATTTATTAATATCTTATAGAAAAGCTTTATAGGAGTTATATAGATACAATTTCATCTTTAAACGTGTCTACAAATGATTAGTAGGTTGAATACTTGATTAACAAGTTAGCCATGTGTTGTTTGTGTTGGTAGCTTGTGGCACAAGCTAACTATGTAGCACATACATAGGAAACTTGTTTTGCAAGTTAAAATACATGTTTCATAAATTAGACATGCATTGGAGGTTCTATAGAACTTTATCATGTAGTTCTTAGTTAGATAATATATATAGAGATAAAAATAAAGTCTTCTTTATTCTTATTAATTCTTTTTTTTCTTCTAGTCTAGTTTCAAGGGTGTCTAATTTTCTTATCTTTTGGCGATATCCATTGTAGCTTTTTTTGAATATACATAATATCTTGTTTTTATTTTTTTACCTTTTTTAAGAAAAAATCTTATTTGCTAATTTTCCTTTATCAAGTTCTTCTCTTTGAAAAATTGATAAGAATATACTTATAATATTAGAAATTATCTTTTCTTGATTAATAATAGATTTCTTTTTGATAAAATATAAGCTTATTAGAAATTACTAATTATCCTCTTCTAAACTGATATTATTCTTAGCACTTTCTTTGTTTTCAAGTCCTCTCTTCTACTTGTCTTAAGTGATATTAATTTTTTTTTTCTCTAATATTATTATTGCAAAGCTTGTTGAAATGAAGAATGGAATGACACAAATGCAAGAAAAATTAAAAGAATTAATACTTGTAATGCATCAATTCAATTTATCTCTACAAAGAATAAGAAATTGACAATAAGTGAAGATATAGAAATGATTGAAGTTGCTTCAACATGTACACCAAATCATGTTACTTCTCTTATAGTGGAACATTATTTAAGTATTAAGAATAAAGGATTATCTTACTCAAAAATTTTGATAGCACAAGATGAAAGTTTTGAGGATTTATCAATCAAGTACAACTGGTGATTGAATTTCAACCTCAAAGTTATCCAATTCTAGGATTGGAAGTCAGATTTATTAGAATATCAGTTTTAAATTTTATATTATTATGGTTTTTATCTTTTTATAAATGACAAGATCTAATATTAGATAATTTAGAGGCTTTTTTAGCAAAGTTTTGATCAATATATGAAGAACATAATGCAATTCATGTTTCAACTAGTAAGATCTATATTTTACAAGAAGACAATTGATTAATAACATTATATGCTTCACAATTTCAATAACTTGCAATTGATATCAAATAGAATGATGTTGTAGTTATTAGCTAATTTTTGTATGGATTACAATATGAAGTAAAAAAATTAATTCTCTTCTTATTTGATCCTTAAAT